GGTGGGTTCTTGTTCCTGTTTCTCCCCCCCCCCCAGCCGCCCCCCCAGGGCAGGAGCAACGGCGGCAGCCGGACCCCATCTGTTGAGCCCACAGCGTCTCGGTCAAGCATATCCAAAAACAGGTCCATGTCAGACCTCCGCTACCCGAAAGACCGTTCCCCTTCCACAGCCTTCAGCCTGCCGCATCTTACCACCAAGAGCAACGAAGTGGGATCTGTTCACAAAAAATAAAGGTACTCCCAAATTGCAAAAAAAAAAAAAAAACAAACCCCAATCCCTCAGATCTCTTGAATAATTAGTATGTAGACACGGAAATTCTTAATAACATGTTAACTATTGTTGGAAAAGATAATTTGTGGGAGTTCTCGAGCTCCCTGTCAGCACTGCGGATCTGCTGGCTGGCATTGTTTAAAACACAAAAAAGTTTAAAGCCTTCCTGCACAACAGCCAATTTTTTATTCAATAAGTCAGCTAGAAGTAGAGCCAAACTGAAAAACTTCTGCCATTTTATGCACCATGGAGACAAGAAACCTGTCAATCTGCAATTACCTATTCTACACCCATTCAAGATCAACTTTTACTGCAGGAATATAGCCAAGAGGATCAGATCTACAGCCTGCATTTGTCCATGGGAGATGGACATAATTTATATTTTGTTTCAGCCTCAAGTAAGTAGAAATATTAAAACGTAACTCAGATTGATGTCTAGGTGCATGTTAAACTGCATTACAGTCTAATAAAAGCTATAAACTTTTCTTCTCATGTAATTTCTCACAGCAATGTCAACAAGAGGATATCAAAATATTCATAGTGTTCATCTGTAAATCCCACTGTGATAAAACTGCACACTGATTTCCTAAGTGATCTCATATATTTAGATTTTCTCCTAGAGCTGTAATATTCCTTGCTTTAGCCCTAGGAAAGCTACTTATTTTTAACAACTCATACTAACTTTGTATTTTTTCCATAAACGAAACACTGCCACTTTTTAAATTAGAGATAATTTGTCCAGACTACTTTAACCTGAAGGTCTATTGTGAGTGTTTAATCCATGGGTTTTGTACCTTTCAAATGCTGATGCTTATTTGTGAAACCCTCAAAAATACATTTTAAAATCCTCAATATAGCATGACCCTTAAACGTACTCACGTTCTGAAGCGTCACGTGCACCACATTATCCCATGCAGCAGGACTCCCCAAAGCCATACACAGCTCAAGCGCTTTTCTGTGTCAGGTTTGCAACTCCCATGTTCATTCAGTGTGCTCCGAGCAGAATTAATGGTTACAAGTGCCTATGGTGCTCATGGCAACTACTAGGCTCTCTGAGCTTGGACCTGCAACCTGATTAAAGCAGAACGCGCAGTGATAGCACATTCTCAGTATCTCTAGTGACAGAGTCCAGGCAGAGCCAGGTGACACGGAGAGGAAAGGTTTCGATCCCACCTCCAGCCGCAGGAGGATTCGTCAGGGCAGGTGAAGTCGGGGCCACTCTGCTTCTTTGCAAGAAGGTGGAAGTTGAATGGGATGTGTAGCTTGTTCTTACCAAATGTACGGTCCAGTAAACCTCCGACTTCACCAGCGTGCCAGGCAGCAAACTAAAGGAGTTAAAGAGCAGATACATATGTATGCTTGAACACACTGTTATTTCATTTACATAAGGCACTAAAATTGGAGTGAGAACTCTTTACCATCTCCACTAACGACCTCCAGATGACTGCTCCTTTAGCGGGGAAGAAGATCTGCAAGGCCTGATTGCATATCACAGCTGTAACTCAAACTACCCAGAACAACTACTAATCATTTGCCGGAGAACACCATCATCGCAGAATGGTTGTTCTCCACCTCCATCAGCCTTCGCACCAGAATCGGGTACCTTTCTGGAGGACATCTGTTATCCAGAACCAGCTATTCTGTTCCATATGGGCATAAGTGGGTGAAACAGGATCTCAGACTATTTAACATACTTCCTTTTGGATTAAAATTCATGACTTATTAATTGCATTTTAAACATGTGCTAACTAGCACAAAGAATATGGTCTCAGAAAAAATCTAATACTGATCAATTACATAACATCACCATAATGATATAGGAACAGTGAGCATTCTCTCCTTTATGTACTTCCATGTGATTTCTTAAATCCCAGCTGCAGAAAAATATGTCTTGTCTCCTGTCTAGTTCTACTTCAGGCACTACTGGTCTGACATTCTGCTTTCAGGTTCTAGCAACATCAGTATTGAGATCAGAGATAGTAAAACTTAGAAAATGTGACACCTTATGTCAAATTACAAAGGAAGTATCTGAGAGCAAATGGAAGAACAGACAGACTGAATTAAGCAGCAGAAAAAGGTAAAGAAACAGAACGATAGGAGGGAAGATACGGACAAATACACAGAAGAGAAGATTATGCAAACAGTCTAGGGTAATCAGACGGGTATGAAGAAAAAACATTAAACAATGTTGAAAGCACAAACGTAACGATATAAATTCATACATAAAACACGTAGCTACAGACAGTATGGGCATGATCCCATTAACACTCATGCACATACAAGATTTTATTCACAAGAACTGTGTAAGTTAAGAGAGTAATACTCAGGTGAGTAACATGATGTACAAGAGGCTGCAGCATTTGGCCGTTCACCGTTTTTCCTTATGTACATCCTGTACGTCTGTAAAACATTTAAGCAGGCATTTTAACTTTGAAGAAGATAAAACTTGAAAATAATAGGACCTAAGGGAAACCTTTACCGTGAAAGCTGGTGGAACGGCAGTTCTGCAAAGAACTGAGAGGAATACCCTAAAGACTAATTATTTGACAATACAACCACTGTTATTGTTCTGTTTGAAGCATGATGAAGTAAAAGTTCCAGTTTGCACAGATATGGAATGCTTGTCAGAAGAAAGCATGATCGATGCATGAATCCAGAATCGGGGAATCCTAATCAACCCTCCAACTGCTATCTGCAAGAAGTCTAATAGCAACTCTGAAATGAGTGTAAGCGACTCATTCTTATGGGATTGCTTCTGCAGTTTAACGAGACACTGACTGCCAGCCTACCCCAGCCTTGACCGTGTTAATAATAATGAGACACCTTTACAGAGCAATAAGTAACCAGTTTGCTTAATAACAGACTGTGACTCTTATGAGAGATAGAAGGCAAGTCAGGTGCCTTGTCCGTGGGGCACAGGTTATTGTCCTCATTCCACAGACAAGAAACCAAAGCCCAGGTATGTCACTGTCCATGAGCGGCTGGGGAGTCTGTCAGGGCCAGGAATGGAGTTTATGGGGCAAGGTCATTTGGGATGACGGCACAATTTTCCTGTGGAGGATGACACCTGATACTCTATTGGGAATAGTGTTTACAGGATGTTAAAAAACATTAAGCGTAAAAAAAAAACCAACCCACAAACAAGAGAGACTGTCTTCAGTAATACAGTAATTACACTTCTTACAAAGTATTCTCACTTTGAAACTACAAAAACAGCATTAAAAGCCATTAATCAAGCAATCAGAAACCCAGGACCTTCCTTCTCTGAGAGTTTCGGCCTGCGGATAGACAAAATGATGCAAAAATCTCCATATGGGTGCCCAAAATATCTGGAGCCAGAACTTCCCAATATTACTGTTATCCTGCCAGAACACCAGACTCCCTCCTCTCAGATGGTTCGGCAGACTTCTAGGCTGTTATCCCAGCATCTCTCTCCCCCTCTGCCAGCACTGTGCTTATGAAATGAAACGAAACGAAGCAAAAGCTTCGTCTGCAAAGCTGGGAAGATGCAAAAAAATGCGCTTTTGCGAGCCTAACCAAAAGTGAAAAACAATATAAGAGAAATACTACCTTTAGCACATTCCTCACTGAAGCTGCATCAGTCTTATTTTTTAATTTCTGCAAGGTATCTGTACTGCAAGGCGCAGGTCAGAAATACTTCCACCAAAACCAAATTACTTAGCACCACCCACGCCAACCATTTGTACAGGGCTGTTCTATGGAATATATTGGGGTTTTTTCCTAAATAACACGAAGGAATCCATTCTTCAGATTACCGCACATTCGCTCTTCCTGGCAGCGGCAGCCCGGCGCGCCCGGGAACGGCTCTGCGGGGCGA